TGTTCTAGCTTCATTGATTTACATGCTGCTGTCCAGCATTCCCAACACCATTTGCTGAAAAACTGTCTTTATTCTTGCCTCCTTTGTCAAAGATTAATTGACAAAAACTACTAGAACTAATAAAAGAATTCAGCAAGGTAACAGGTTACAAGATTAACGTACAAAAATCAGTTGCATTTCTTTACACTAATGATGAATCAATAGGAAAAGAAAGTAAAGAAACAATCCCTTTTTAAAAAGCTCCCAAAGTAATAAAATACCTAGGAATAAATCTAACCAACGAGGTCAAAGACTTATACACGGAGAACTATAAAACATTGATTAAGGAAATTAAAGAAGACTTAAAAAAAAATGAAAAGATAACCCATGCTCCTGGATTGGAAGAATCAATATTGTTAAAATGGTCACACTGCCCAAGGCAATCTACAGATTTAATGCAATCCCTGTCAAATTACCCAGGACATATTTCACAGAACTAGAACAAATCATAACAAAATTTATATGGAATCACAAAAGACCCAGAATTGCCAAAGCATTACTGAAGAAAAAGAAAGAAGCTGGAAGAATAACCCTCCCAGACTTTAGACAATACTGCAGAGCTACAGTAATCAAAACAGCATAGTATTGGTACAAAAACAGACATATGGACCAGTGGAACAGAATAGAGCCCAGAAGTGAACCCACAAACTTTCAGAAGGGCATCTTCTTCATATCTGTTCATGATAATGTCACAGATGTAGTATGACCAGCATAACCTGGGTGGCAAATACTCATATACATCATCTCCATCTTGATTGCAGTGTATTTCAGCAGCTTAAAAGCATATTAAAATTATAATTATCTTTGTCACCCCCAGATATTCTGCTGCTTACTGAAGAATGCATTACCAGTGATGAAGGACTCTTATTTTACTCTTCCTTGCATGATACACTGGGGAGATTATTTCTGAGTGAGTGAAAGAGCTGCCAGACACCATCTCCTGGAAATGCCTGGTAAGAGAAAAGCAGCAAACTTTGAAAAAGAGATCTGCCATCCTGCATCAAATCAGCCACCCCCAACCTGGGCTCCTCATACTGACTCGGTAAGTTCGTTCTACTGGCAAATCATACACCATAATTAACTGTCCTTAATTCTGATGAACATTTTATGGGCCTACAGGGTCTGGAGAGAAAATCGTTAGCTTCGTTGACTAATTTTCAGCAACAGTTCATTCAACAGAGCACTAATAGGTCAGCCTTGGTTTGAAGTATAGGGATATGATATTAATTGGCTTCTTCTAACAGGGTTGAGGATGCTAAATGGCAAAGACCATCTATAGCTCTGGAAAGGACACACTTGAAAAATGCTTTGTGAAGGTAAATTATAAAACAAGAAAATTTTTTTTCCATTCAGTCTATAAAATATTTTGTTTCTTTTGTCATTATTTGATTCTTCCCTTCAGAGACTAAAACTTCTATGCAAAATACTGTTTTGTGTGACGTATAGAAATAGTGAAGCTAGGTGCTCTTTGACCAAGTCTTTTAGATTTTTGACTTGGAGGCACAGTTTAGGAATACTGAATATGTGTAGAAATAAAAATTGTACATGTGTATGTGTGTATATTTGTGTATATTTATATCCTAGCAGAACCCCAAATAAGTGAAATTTCTTGGGCAAAATCACTTGATAAAAAGATGAAGTGAAAGCGGTCTTCATGGCTGTTATTTATTAGATGTGTCTGAAAAAATTAAAAACAAATTAAATAGCATTTATTCAACGCTTTGAATTAGAGTACAGGAGAAATCTCCTACTGAGTAAAAATACATCTGAATTTTATGTACTGCAGTACCGAAGTACCTCAAGAATGGAGGATTTAGTTAATTTAATTTTCCTGCTAATTAAAATTTAAATCTAGTCCCCCTTTATTCTAATTTTCTTATTGTTGAAATGTCTTTTGAAATAAAATGAAATATTTTCTTACCTTAGTAAGTTGAGTATAGGATATATAATTGAATCATAGATCATTTAGGATTTTCACTAGGGTCATTCAGAAGATCAATTCTCATGCTGTAATGCAATAGAGGTAGGGATAGAGGGCAGGTTTAATTGAATAGAATTTTTTTTTTAATTGAGTAGAAATTTTACTTTGACCTTAGGACCATTAGACTTGAGCGCACACTCTCTCTCTGTCTCTCTCTCTGTCTCTCTGTCTCTTTCTCTGTCTCTCTGTCTCTTTCTCTGTCTCTTTCTCTCTCTTCCTCCCCTCTCCCTGCTCCCTCTCCCTCTCATCCTCCTTCCCTCTCCTTTCTCTGAAATAAACTTGTTTCACTTGCCTTCCCCTCTGGTTTCTATTAATGGATTATTAAAAAGACCTTTAATTAAAAGTTTCTTTTAAGACTATTTTAAATTAATAAAAACAGCAATTTTGTAATTCCTGAGGAAAATATTTCTTTGTCTCAATATCCACATAAAATAAGTCAAACAGCCAGGGTTTGAATCTGTCGTTCATTTCAGGGAACAGTAATTCAGCCCACTGCACTGAACGTATAACTGGAAATCTAATCATCTGTAAGATCCTTTCTAACTGTAACAATCAGGGTCCAGGATCAAATGCTAAGCTCCATCTTTTTACCTAATAGAATTCAGATTTCTATGGGATTAATGAGGTTTTCATTTCTCTGTCTCCTGAAAGAGTAAATGATCTAGTTCAGATTCAGTATCATGGCACTGAGCTAATATCCCTCTGCCCCTGACTGAAAACACACAGAAATTCTTAATAGAATATGAAGCAAAATAAATATACCATCATATCAGGATATTTAACACAACTATAAGAAACTGGTAGCTGAAGATAATAAAATTAATAAACACATAAAATATTTGACTAGAAATTTAAGATTTGATTTAAATTATACATGTAGAGCCCTGAATGGAGTCTAGATGTATATTTTGACCAAGTTTATTTCCAAAATACGTTGAACATTTGAAGCCAAAGAAAGTCTTGAGAATTTTACCCCAAATTATAAAAACAAAATATTATAAAACAAAATAAAATCTCTGACTATAAGTCACTTAACTTTAAAAATAACAATAAAAAATAGTCACAAAAAAGACTGACATATTTGGAAACTAAACTGTGCATTCTAAAGTCATTTAAATTAAGAGAAAATCAGAATAAGAAGTCTGTAAATGTATACAACCAAATCACAATGAAAATCCTCCATAGTAACAGTTGTAAAAGGCAAATAAAATAATACTTAAGTGAATTTGTAGCTTTACATATGCTTATTTTTTAAAGCTTTCAAAAATAAGAATTCAGAATTTTTTATTGAGGTAGAAATGACATATAACATTATATAATTTTCAGGTGTACAACATGGTTTGACATTCGTATATACTGTGAAATGATCACCACAGTAAGTGAAGTTAACATCCATTACTGTATATATTTAGGCAAAAAACATTTTTTTGTGATAAGGACTTTTAAGGTCTACTCTCTCAGCAACTTTCAAATGAGATACAGTATTATTAACTGTAGTGACCATGTTGTACATTACATCCCCATGTCTTATTTATTTTATAACAGGAAGTTCGTACCTTTTGACCCTCTTCACCAATTGTACCCACACCCACTCTCTACCTCCAGCAACCACTAATCTCTTCTGTTTCTATGAGCTTTTTTTTTTTTGGTTTTTGATTCCATTTATAAATGAGATCATACAGTATTTGTCTTTCTTTGTCTGACTTATTTCACTTAGCATAATACTATCAGTGTCCATCCATGTTGTTGCAAATGGTAAGATTTCCTCATTTTTAAAATGGCTAAATAATATTCTGTTACACATATATACCACAACTTCTCTATCCATTCATCTATCGATCTTTGTTTCCATGTCTTGGCTATTGTACATGATGCTGCTATGAAAATGTGATGTATTTTTTGGAGTTAGTATTTTCATTTCCTCTGGATATGTTCCCAGGAGAGGAATTGCTGATCATATGGTAGTGTTTAGTTCTATTTTTAATTTTGGGGGCTCATCCATATTCTTTTCCACAGTGGCTGTCCCAGTTTACAGTCCCTTCAAAAGTGCACAAAGGTTCCCTTTTGTCCACGTCCTTACCAGCATTTGTTATCTAGTATCTTATTGATGAAAGCTATTCTAACAGATATGAAGTGATACCTCATTGTGGTTTTGATTGACATTTCCCTTATGACAGGTGATGCTGAACATATTTTCACGTACCTATTGGCCATTTGTATATCTTCTTTAGAAAATAATTTATTCAGGTAATTTGTCCATTTTTAATTGGAATATTTTGGTATTTTTCTTTGATATTGAGTTGTGTCATCTTTATATATTTTGAATGTTGACCCTTATCAGATAGTTTGCAGATATTTTTTCTCATTCTGAAGTTGTCTTTTCACTTTGTTGATTGTTTCTTCTGCTGTGTTTGACATAGTCTTACTTTTTTGTTTTTTACTTTGTTACTTTTGCTTTAGGTGTTGTAAGCAAAAAATCATTATCAAGAGCCACGTTAAAAAGCTTTTTTCATGTTTTCTTCTATTAGTTTCATGGCTTCAGGTCTTATATTTAAGTCTAATAATAATTTTGATTTAAATTTTAGAAATGGTGTAAGATAGGGATCTAGTTTATTTGCCTAAGTTGAACCATCCTTGCATCCCAAGGATAAATCCCACTTGGTCATGGTGTGTAATCCTTTTAATGTGTTCTTGAATTTGGTTTGCTGATACTTTGTTGAGAAATTTTGCACCTGTATTCATTAGGAACATTGGTCTATCGTTTTCTTTTCTAGTGATGTCTTTATCTGGTTTGGGTATGAAGGTTATACTGGCCTCATAGAATGGGTTTGGAAGTGTCCCCTCCTCAATATTTTGAGTTTGGGTAGGATTGATATTAATACTTTAAATATTTGGTAGAATTCATGGGTGAAGCCATTAATTATTTAAAAAATTTTTCACCAAAGGTGATACCCACACTATCCTGTGTATTTGAAGTTCACATGGGTAATATAAGCTCTTACTGGAAAATAATTTGACAAGCAAATCTCTTTACAAACAAAAGAATGAAAGCTCAACAAGGAAGTTTATCAATTAAAACATACATCAGAGCGCAGTCTAATCTTACATAAGATGTTTGCTTCATCCTGATTAGTTACCTAGTCAAGGCTATTTCTTAGTTTACCAGGATATAAATTCACTTTTAACATCACAGGTACTTGCAGATCCCATCTCAATAATTGATGTTTGGTATTTTAGGTCAGAGTGAGTAGTTTTGTTTTTCTCTAATTAAAGCTGATTTATTAAAGAGATACTTGTTTCCATTTTCCTATTTTTTTTCTCAAAAGGAGCATTTCCACATGCACCCTCCCCCCTTTATTGCTTTCAAGTACCATCTTTCTTACATTTGACTCTGCAGTGTATCTGTAAAAAATCAAACTATGGATACCTTCTGCATTATTTTAAATATATGCATAATTTTTTTCTCAGTTAAAGGAACTTCTCTTTTATAGCCATGATTATTAAGAGCACACACCTAGTATTTAGAATTATTTGAATAATGAATACTAAGTAGAAAAAGGTATATCATTTTTGATGTTAGTTAATCTTTTTTTGACACTTACCTACAACCTAAAATGGAAGATGGGTATAGTAAGTAGTAAATATCAGGGTAATTTTTTAAAGTTCAATTATGTCAGTGGTTGTTATTTTCATCTCTGTCAACAAAAGAGTCTTAACTTGCAGTCAGTACCTTAAAACTAACCCTTGATTTTGTTTTGAGATGGTCTAGGTTAAATCTTATTTGTGATGTCAGTGTCCTCCAGCCAAAGACCACCAGAAACACACCTATAGTTGAACAAAGTTGGGCTTCTTAGCTATTATAACAGAAAAGACAGTACATCATGAGGATGTAGTGACAAGACAGAAAATGAGGCATCTCAACAAGAGGGTATCAGAAGGGACCTTTCATAGGATATGGGCTTCTGTTCGGTGATGTTGGAGGTAGGCTCAAGGAAGCAGAGTTTTCCTATGGATTGCTCGCTCTCAGAAGACAAGGGAAATTTTATGTTTCTGATCTTAATGATTTTTATCTTTGAGGTGGGCATTCTAAATGATAAACTTGGGACTAGTAGGAAATAAATACAAATTTACTTTTATAGCTGGAACATGATACATGAAACTAAGAGCAAGGAGCTCTTAGTGAGAGTGGCAGGTATCTCACAGGGAAAACAAAGATTTATGACTGGAGAGTATGAAACTCTGGTATTGAGTCATTGGTTGGAAGGACTTGGTATGGTTCCATCCAGTGCAATTGCAGTGATATCCTGTCTGCTGAATCTTGAATTGTATCCAGTCTCTGAGCTGTAGCCCAGTAGCATCTATTCTTCCAGCCATGAATTGAATGCCTTGTCACAAGCCATTAATATTTGTGATAATTGCAAAAATGCCATCTAATGTATGAGTATTTTCCAAGTAGATGGCTGCTGCATTGCAGCAGAAAATCTTACGATCATATTTATTAACATTAATTTCTCTGTTGATTATATATCTCATGCTCAGAAGCACTACTGACTATAATTATTATTTTCTTTTCACGCTCCAATGCCACAGTTTGACCACTGGGAACGCCTTTAGGTTGGCTCCCTTTACTACTACCCCAGAACTTTTGAAAGCATTCTTGCTTTCTTACAACAAAATAATCTAGACTCAACCTTATTTTTTCTAACATACTACTAGAGTTTACTAAAGATTTTCATTCATACTTTACTAATAAATCTAACTGTTACATATGATGCTAAGTATATAGGCTGGTGGAATGCCACCAAATTCCAGAAAGGCGATTTGTAATCAGTGAGTTTGTCATCAGTGTTGTCTTCATTTGATTGTGGTTTTCAATTACTCTAATCCTTGTAGTTTAATTACAAATACTGTCAATTTAGCTCCATTATTAATTTATCTTGGGAATGGTTGTTTGTTCACTTTACAGTGAGAAGGGATACAGTTTAGCATCAACAATATTTTTGATGTATAATTTTCTAATAACTAG